CTTACATCTAGGTTAAAAAACATGTAAACAAAAATGTAAAATTAAAAGGTTAAAAAGTGAAATCTGTATACAAGTTAAAAACATTTTAAAATAAATCCAATAAAATAATAAACACTATACGAACAGAGGGGTTCAGTGGGTATGCCTCCGCTATGGAGGAGCATCCCACATAAAGCATTCCCCTCTGAAAAAAAAAAAAATAGGTGGGTTGCCGATTGCAGAAGGGTTCATCGTCCACTTTTCAATCTTCAAATGACAATTCAATCTTCAAGTAACGCGCGATGGTTCGATGTCCGTTCCAGTCGGCACCCACAGCAGAAGTGTTCTGCTGCCGTGCCTCGGCTGGTAAGGTGTTGACCCATAGAACGCCGACAGACGGCGGAGGCGTCACTTTCCGTAGTAAACTCAACTGCCGCAGAAACAGTCGGAGAAACACTTTTCTCGACGACAAAGTGCAAGCAACTCGATCCGTCTCCACTTCACGACTATATTCGTAACAACTGTTAAAACGCCTTATATAAAGATGGTGCCTCGACCCCTCTCAAGCCCACCTGGCTCTGCTGTGATTGGTCGTTACTTAAATTACGATAATAATGTTATTTAGTCTAGGAAAAAAGTAACTTATAAAGTAAGATCAAATTAAAAGTTATTAGAAGCTTTTACAATATCAATAAACATTAAAAATTGCACACAATGCGTTAAACAGTAATTCAGTTGACAATGGCTACTAAATAACTTCCTACTTTAAATATATTGTTAGCTGAGGGTGGAACTTAAAAATAATGGTAGGGTGATGTCAATATAAGAGACCGCACCCTCATTTTCGGGCCACACTCGCCACCGAACACTGAAGCCAGCGGAAGCTCTGCCCGTTTGACTAGCCAAAATAATTAATCATTTTAACTCTGATAGTTGATCAAGTTAATGTTATATTTCGAAATCATTTAAGTGTTAATTTAATTCAATCAATTTTGTTAGTTTTCTTATTAATTCAAAAAGTACTGTAGTAGTGTATAAGAGATTGTTGTTTTAATTTTCCCTGCTTCTGATCCTTAAGATCAGAAGTGGAATAGTGAAACTCCCACGTCCTTGTTTGTACATCCTGATACGATGTGTTTCCATTGTTATTTCTTTAATTGGCTAGTCATACGATCAGAAACATATTTTTGTAAATTGTAACTATCCTTGTTTAAAAGGACAAATTAACCCTTAGTTTTCGGTGTTTCGTATAATATACGTAAGTAAGACGCGATGTGACGGTGTGATCAAGTTTTATAATGTCAACTTTGGTGAGTACGTTCCAATTGTTTTCTTCTCCGCTTTAAAATAACAAATAGAAGTTGTATTTGTTAGCTTTTTGTGTAAATTTTAGAATGGCTCAAATTTTAATATTTTGTCGTGTCTACCCTATTGATCAATTATTTACCGTAACTTGAATGCCCTGCTTGGAATTACGTCAATTTTATGTTTATTTGCTAAACATCTTCTTAATTAATAAAATACGTAAATAATTGCTCCATTTAAATGCTTTAATGGATTTAAATATTAATTTAATGCTCAAATTTTAATAAATTTTTTAAGCAATTACTCAATAACTTGTCAATTTTTTGACTACGTAATATTATACGTAACGCAATAATGATACAACGAAAAACGTATTCTAAATATCAAAAAAATGTTTATATTTTTAATAATAGCATAATTTAAAAATAATTTGATTTTTTAAGTTAGAACAATTTAGTTTTTAAACTATTTAACATGATAAATATGTTGCTATATTTTATTTTTGAAATACAAATTAAAGGTGCCCTAAACACTCCGATTCGGATAGGTTGGTTAATTTATTTACGATTTATTAATTTCAGTAGTGAAAAAGTATTATTGCCCTTTGGTTTTATTTTAGTTCGGTTCCAGAATGGGATTCTGACGTAGGTGAAGATGGGGAGTTAGTTTTCATAAAAGTAAAAAATAATGCAAACTACGATGTGAATACTCCACTTTTAAGAAACTTTTAAGTTAAGAAGTGACTTCATGAGGGCTTCAACGCGAAGGTCCAGTAAAGGTACGAAAACGTAAATGAACTAATTATTAAAGTTAATTTTAAAGTACCTGTTTTACTGTCCTTTGGTTACCTGTGTACTTTTTGTTATAGCTTATTGTATAACTAATTTTATTGTATACATTGCAGGTAGAATTTTCAAAGCTTTAAAAAGCCGCAAGGCAAAATATGACAATGCAAGTAGCAAAATTAATGAATTCGAAAGTTCAGTTACTAAATATTCTTTAGAAGATAATAATAAATTTGTTATCATACAGGTAAGAAAACATTCTTAATAAACCACAACTTTATTTGATAAAGACAATTTTTAATATGTTTTTTTGTTAATATAAATTACAGGTTAGCAAGAATATGATATTTAACAGTGAAAAGAACTGCCAAATAGAGAAATTATTTGGTATGAGTTTAGAGACTCATATGGACGGAAAGACATTAATTGTTGCAAATTTCTTAACAGAAGCTAAAGCAATATACATTCCACGAGTCAAAGTTGGTTATTACCTAGTAAAAATAAATGGAATTGAAGTAAACTCTTACAACATCAATAATATGCTACAAAGAGTAATTGAAGACATTGAAAGTCCAAAACTAACATTTCAAGTAGTAACTGGAGGATTTAATATTGATCTTGTTAAATTATTAACATTAAAAAATTCTCCGGAAAATTCTCTAACTCAGCTTTTGAAAGATTTGATGTGTTCTGTTCTGTACATATGTTGTAATGATATTGAGTATCAGAGTAATGATGATAAAGGAGTACTTTATTGCTACCCTCGGCCATATAATCAAAACTTTCTTTATAATACAAGAGGGGCTTATGTGACAATCATTTGGCCCCTAAATCATTGGGTACTAGTGAACCAGTAGTATCAACTGTCCTTTACAACAATACTTTAATTAATGTCACTTACGCATCTCATTTTAGTGATCTACTTTTACTGGCTGTACCTAACAAAAATTTAGATCTTTTTTGTGCTAAAAAATTAATAGGTTATGTTGTAAAAATCTTGGAATTCCTTTATGGGTCATTAAAATCCTG